TGCTGGGTGCTGGCAGCTAGAAGACACAAACATCACAATCCCTGTTTCTCCAGAACTCACATTTTAGAGGGGGAGTCTTAGAAGGGGCCTCTAGCTCAGTCCAAGAAGGTCAAAAAAGGCTTCCTAAAGGAAGTGACAAGTAAGAATGGAGACTCTTTCAGAGAGGTGAATGAAGCCAGAAGGTCAGCCTGATGGCTGGGACAACGAGTTGTAAGGAATTCAGTATTGCTGAATCCAGTATTGCTGGATCACAGAGGGCAGTGAGGCAGAGGGCAGCAAGAAAGGTGCTGGGGCCAAATACTGAATTCCATGCCAGGCTAAGGAGCCTGGGCTTCAGCCTGAAGGCAACGGGCAAAGGCCAAGAACCTGAGAAGGCTTTGACACAGCAGGTGGTGTGGCCATGTTGGTAATTTGACCAAGTCACTGCAGGGCAGCAAATGTACTGGGCGGCATGGACCCCAGATTGGGTCTGTCAATGATGCACCATCTCCCCGCCCCACCATGCTTTCATCCCTCCTGCCCAAGGCACAGTAGAGATGCTTCTTCCCAACAAAATCTCACTCCCTGCCCACTGTGATCTTATTCTAACCTTAAAAACCCCTGAGTTTCAAGTAGCAGGATTTTGATTTGGTTGCAACTTTGCTCCGTCAACAGTTTTAGGAAAAACTTCTACCTCCGCAGGCAATTTAGAGATAGCACTTCTGAAACGGTCTGTGGACAAAGGATGTCACTGCTCTGGGAAAACGTGTCTGTGTCCTGCCAGGAAGAGACAAAGCACACTGAATCCACGCCAAAGGACGCTGTCCAGAAAGGGAAGGTCACACAGCCCTCAACACTCCTCTTTTCGAAGTCCAGCCTTTTTCCATTTTTCCATTAGCATCAGTTTCCACCTCCCTCCACTACCACGCACTTGGGGGAAGGTCAAATGATGATTCTTGAGAGTATTACATACTTGACCGCAACTCCAGTCTTGCCCACTGGGAGGGAAAGGGTACAGTGAGGGCACAAGGATGCCCACAGAACGCAGTGTAGACCAGAAAGGAGTCCTGTGGCCTCTCCATCAATCCCCCCAGCAGTTTTTTCTGATTCTTACCGCTGAGCACATCAAAGCCTAGCTGGCATGTAACTGATGTTTCAAAGTTCTGTGAATGAGTGAGACGCTCATATACAATATTAAAGCTACAACATACACTGATATCTCAGCAGAACAATTTATCACCAGATATAGTATGCCAAATTTACCTTCTTGGGATACCAGTAAAGAGACGAGAGATGTTATGGAAAACCTCAGGATGGTCCCCTGAGTCCTGAGATTCTTGGCACCTCCAGGAATTTTTCCTTCTCAGGAGAACGGACGGGGATGAAGGGAATCAGGGCCATTGTCCCTAAGAAAGGCATCTCCCGCACCCTGCTGAAGTAAAGCTGTGTCCCTGCCCTGAGAAATGAGAGCATGGGAGTCCCACTAGAAGGTTCTCTGCTCAGAAATCCACCTAACTTGCCCTTTCTGTACAGATGGCTGCCAAAGAATCAAGCTTCACGTCATGCTTGGTTCAGACCTGTCAGAAGCAACTTAGACTTCTGTACGGATGGAGAAGCGAACAAGGCCAGCCCTCAATGAGGGTTGATTAATATCAGTGTGGAGATTTCATTTCCAGCTGGTGGGGCATGCATCACAGTTCCAGGGAGTTCATTTGAAGCTTAGGGGAACAAATCCAAAGGCTTGTGACAAATGCACTCTTTAACACAAGACAGATAGGTTTGGTGCCTGTGGCTCAAGCGGTTAAGGTGCCAGCCACGTACACCTGAGCTGGTGGGTTCAAATCCAGCCCTGGCGCGCCAAACAACAATAACAGCTCCAACCAGAAAATGGCTGGGTGTTGTGGTGGGCGCCTGTAATCCCAGCTACTTGGGAGGTGGAGGCAGGAGACTCGCTTGATCCCAGGAGTTGGAGGTTGCTGTGAGCCGTGGCACTCTACCCAGGGTGACAGCTTGAGGCTCTGTCTCAAAAACAAACAAATAAACAAACAATAAATAAATAAATAAAAATAAAGGCTTA